AGGTTCAATATGTTGTATGAGCCTACGAAATCCAATGTCCTCCACGACAGAAAAGGGCTGGTTGTCTAAGGCAATGAATTCCGTTACTTTCTCAGTAATGCCACATGCTTTGGGACTATCATCTGCAAATTTCTTAGTCTTTTCCAAGAATGTGGCGACCGAGGGTATTTGTGATGTAGTTAGGGCAATTTTAACCAATGTTGTTTTGCTGTACTCCTCATATTCAATTGGATGTCGTGTTTTCAGTTCGGTGCACCCCTAGGACAAATAGTTCATTACTGGTTACATGATATGCTTCACTGGTCTCTTATAGACCCATGGAGATTAATATGACTCTCACCACTCCAACAGACTACAGTATCTCAGCACAAGAGTGTGGTATATATATTAAATGTGATGCACTTTGTAATAATTGTATTAAATAAAGGCTTACACATATCTGTGCTAAATATAAGCCTACTTTCCAATAAACAGACTGAAATACATGTAAAATCAGACAGCTGAGACTTGCATACCGTATATGCAACATGCTTAAACTTACTTCAAAATTCTTAACTTTGTTCTCTACTCCAGCCATACAGTGTTCATAATGTAGCACATTTCTGCTATGATTAGATGAGATACCGAGTGAGGCTATCTCTATATAAGAGAAATTAAAAAAAAAAAAAAACAGATGTGATTATATGTAATGAGAGGTGAAGTTCTGACCTCATTATATTTCTTCAATTCCAAATGTGCTTTGCCCATGTGTACATAAGCCTTTATGCACCTCTCATTGCACTGATAGGGAGAAAATGATCAAAGTAATAGATTAGCTAAAACTTCATCAGCAGCACATCTTCATAATGGTGATTTAATGTTTTTGCATTGATAACACTAGCACAGTAAGAGAGAAACATTCAGTCTGAGCTTCACAGATAAAATAATATTCATGACAAAACTTAACCACTACATCATACACTTTATGCTGTACATTGTGCACAACTGACCAGGGCTTGTACAAAACATACAATAAGACAATACTTTATAAAATGGACAGAGTGAGGCATGATGTCATTCACTGATTTGTAATTTAATAATGGCTAATGTCACAATCTCGGTTCTGGGTCAGTATTTTTTTTAGACATTTCCTTGAACTGTCATTCCCAGTTTAGTTTCTAGATTTCCCCGGGCTTGCCCGTGACTCTACCCTACACACCTACTTCTCATTTCTTTGTAACCCAATTCTATATTCCACACCCGTCACACTTGCTTATATTCGTGCTTTCCTGCCACAGCGCTATATATTCCTTTTCTCCCTGTGATAACCTATTTGGATTGCTTTCCCATTACATTTAAATTTTTCAGATGAGTGAAACTACTAACCTTATAACTAAATGAGGGTATATTTGATTTGGATTATGTGTAAAGGCATGAAGAACCCTATCTATAACAATTCTAAAGTTGTTAAGATATTCCTCCACCAGTGTGCACAAATGCAGGTCTGTTGTCCAACACTGGGTGCATAAACAACAGCACTAAATGGTAAATGGACTTGTACTAATAGCACTTATCTACACGCTCAAGCACACTGAAAGAGCTTTACAAAAATTTACTGCTGAAAAAAATTCCAGGGAGAACTGCAATGTTCACAATTTTCTCCTCAGAGAACATTTCTCCACTGCCGATGACCTGTAACCTGCACTTATTACTGTTTCTGAATGCAGTGTGCAGCAAAGCAGAGCCCACTTTTAACCTATCCAACTCATTTTCCTACCAAACATAGCTCCTCTGAGCTCTGAGGTTCACAAGGTATAGTGCCACAGAATGACGCAGCAGCTGATTGAAGCCAGTTCCCTACTGGGTCTTACCTTCAGGGCCCATTCACAGTCACTGATGGCCTCCTGGTACTTTCCCAGCTTGATGTAGGCCTAAGTAAATTTAAACATTGTTAACTGGGCATCAAAAACAGGCAAAAAGAAATATGACCTCACAAAGTATAAATGTAGTTAATATTACACAGAGGAGACTTTCGAGCTCCTGGATCTTTGGAAGGGAACATATTGATTGTACAGTTACATAACTGCACATATCCATAATCACTGAAATTAAAATCCATAGCTGGGTACCTGCTAGTTGCTTGGGTCTGTCAAAACAATAGTTTCTTCATTATGTCACAATGATAAGCACACAAAGCAGCCCTGCTTCAATCCATTCTAAGCAACAAAGAATTATTTGTGACTTTTACCTTAAATCTTAAAAGGGTGGAATGAACTTGAGATTAAAATACAGAATTTGTCCTACAAAACACTATTTGTGTTTTCACTGTAAGACATTTAAAGAAAACATATAAAGCACTGAGGATATGCACTTGTGCTCGGTTGGTGTACAATGTCTGCATGTCCCGTAGTTCAGCCAGACCATCAGTGTAATACTTCACAGCAGTTTCATAGTCTTCTTGAGCGTAAGCTCCATTCCCCTTGTCTTTGAGTGCTGCAGTGGCACAAACAATACAACATTTAAAAGGCATAGTGCTAGCCCAACAGAGCGCAAAATGGAGCAAACTATTCACATCCAGCAGCATGTTAAGGAACAAAGATATACAAACCAATTGCCTTTTTCTCTTTAGCAATCCTCCTGTCTTCAGCATCTCTTTCCATAATCTTCATGAAACTCTCTGGTCAAAAAAAAAAAAACTTAATCATGAGTGTTAGAACTGAAAAAGGAAGAACTGTAAAGTTATTTGTCTTTAGGCAATATTTCACATTGCACAAGAATTTTAACTTTAAGCGCTTCCTTGTCAGAGTTTTGCCACGCAGTAAATAAAAAAAATTAATAATCAATTTACCAATCAAAACAAAATGAAGATTAAAAATGTGTGTGATTGTTAATGTTAACAATGTTCAGCCAAAGGCAGACATTGCTCTATGTCAAATAATAAATAACAAATGGAGGTAATTTTGCTAAAAAGCACATATAGTACATAGCATATACATATCTTTTTCCTTCTCGTTTTGTGAAGTGAACATTAGTTGCTTAAAACACGTTCTGAAAGGTTCATGAATTTGCAGTTTTACTGTTACTGATGAGTTTTACTTTAGGAAGAACTGAAAAAAGTATTGATCTGATTAAACGTTCTTCATATAGAATACCACATTAACACATTTAAGGCATTGATTTGAATAAAATGTATACAAGAGACTATTAAATTAAGATTACACACATTAAGATCACTACAATGACTTCTCTGTAAACAGATTTGCTGCACACTAATGTAATTCTGGCTCATACTTTATACCTACTCCTACTTTGTCTGATGTTTTAGTGCCTTTGTGACCTAAACAGTCAATATTACAAGTCTCTTATCTGCTAATCATTGTTAAGAGGCCTCAAGACAAAAAGAAGCCGTGCACAGGACATAGGAGATACTGATAGTTTACAGGGTTTTCCTTAGGTTTTCTCAGGGCTTAGGTGCATTCTCTTAGGTGCAGGTCAGGGGTGGGGGGTGGGGAGTTTGAAACTATTTAAATGAAATCTTTCATTATTTTATCTTGTTTTTCTATAAAGATTTATGAAAGAAAGTTGGCAATATCTATAGTCAAAACTCTTTTTTTTGTCAGCACATAAAATTCTCCTTGTTGTTTTTAGCATACACTCATTCTGATATGACACCTAAAGGCCTTTTTATGTTCATTTAAGGTGCTCTGCAAAAACACTTAGTTGCTATACCCAAGCTTTTCTATGGTGTGAGCAGGCAACTGGCAGATCGCACAAACCATAGCCACAACTGAAGTGAAAATTCCAGAGGGTTGCTTTAATGCCAAGGACACACCTTGTGCCATTTCTCTCTTCCCGCTAGTTTATGATGAGTCAACAACCTGCCTAACAGGTGCAGATGATTAAAAAACTGCAAAGCCACATTTGTAGTAAACTTTGATGCTGCCACATAAAAACTGGCCACAAATGTTATGAGACGTTTCTTCCCTACTGCTACAGTGTAGCACAGAAATGGTTAACAAAAACAAATCTTTTCCCCCTTGACTGACATAATCCAAGACTTGGGGTATTTTATAGTCAAGATTGTTGATATTCACACTGACTGCTGAAACCTCAAGTGAAATGCACTGCATCATTTACAGACGTGTTTGTTCGGGTAGGGCACTTACTTGGAAAAAACACAGAGCAGTGCAGTGAAGCACATCAGCAAAACATGTTTTTCCACACACTGCCACAGTTGTATAGTTTTTAGTGATCATGTCTTTCAACTTATTCACTTTTTCTTAATTTGTCCTTGAAAAATAGATACATATATTTTATTTATTTCTTGTTTGGCTAAAAGAAATGTTTTCCTACAATTGCCTATGATAACCTCAGAAAGATTGATTTTCATTGTTGCTCACCTGGACTTTCATTCTGCATATGCGGACTCTGTAAAATAGGGGAAAAAATTTTAAAGAATGCAAACAAAAGTCTCCCTTCCGAATCCCTACATACTGTACATTGTCTTGTCCTTATACAACATGAAGGGACAAGGGACAGAAAGAGCTAGAAACAAATATAGGACAGACAGAGTGAGAAAGACTGAGACTGACAGACTTTGTGTGCATGTCTTTACCAAGGTAGGTTCAAGTAGTGGGCTTGTGTTGATTGTAGTCTTGTTGACTTTTGTCCTGCAGGGTTCATCCCCAGCAGCTATGTAGCAATCAGCTTTCTCCATTGCTTTTTGCTGGACTTTGACGTCAGAAGAATTGAGATCTTTCACTAGCTCACCTGAAATACATTTGTGATTTATTTTACTGTTTGCAGGTTTAATTACATGTAAAAACCTATAGGAACTACATACTGTGGATTGTAAAACATTTTATGTATGAAAAATATAATATTTATTAACTCAATAAAGTTAACTAGAAATCGCGTTAACATAGACCATCCTTCCTGTCTGTTTGCTAAAGCTAGGTTCGCTAACATTAGCTAATAACGTTAACTAACTAAATTAGTTAGCTAGCGTTAAGTTAGCTATTTGTGCCCCCATGTTTCTGGCCATACGTCCATAGTACTCACTTATTTTGTCAACCTTCTTCAAAAAACTCTCAAAGTCTTCCAGTTCATCCATCGTGCCGTTGTCCTTTCGACCCCGTGTCTATTATTTAATAAGTTAGGTAGCTGAATTTATCGTGACTTTTCCCAAGTCTCAGCGTTGAGTCACCATAGTAACGTGATGCGTTCAATGCCACTCGTAAGCATCTGAACCAAAAACGAAATTACACAGAAATGTCGTTATTCCAGTGTAGGTCTAACTGTAGGACAGTAATGAAGTGATTTTCTGAAATCACTAGATGTGTTTTTAACTACCACAGGATCCATGTTTACACCGAGGACTAACGAATAAGACTGCTGTAATAAAAATCTTGTCTAATTCCTATCGCCATTCTAACTGTCGAGTGATACCTGTTTCCCAGATGTTGTTATAATCACCAAAAATGTATCATCTACCACTTTATCGCGAGTGGATTGTGTCACAGAAGCGTATGCCTTTGTTTAGCTTTCTTCAGAACCGGGTCTTCATAAAGCACTTGAAAGCAGCACTTCTCACCCTGGATTTTTGTGGTCATAGTTTAGCTTCAATACAAAACACCACTCAAATGTATTTTATGACTAAATCATTTAAAAGGCTACCACAGTTCTTTGTAAGAGTGCAGAGTGATTCTGGGGCCTACTTTTCCTGCACACGTATACCGTGCATCAGTACAGATGGGCTTCAGCACATCTCCCCAGCACTTCAGGAGCCTGCTTTTCTACATCTTGATATAAGAGCATCCTACATCTTGAGCTCTCCTATGATATGTTATCAGCAGTAGATCAATACTGCCTCCCTGTGGTTAACACTACATTAAACAGTCCCTGCTGCCTCAAAAAAAGCTTAGAACATCATTAATGTTATTGCTCTAATTATGCTTTTTTGCATATTTGGTTTATTTTATTTTATATATTTCATGCATTTTTTTCTCTTTAGGTCATATTCTGGAGCCATTGTTGGCACCAGTGATTTCCAACTAAGTGGAACAAAGGGATAAAAGGATGAGGAAAAGCAACTATGTTGGACTAACTATAAATTTGTTTTGGCATCTCACATATTATAAAACCACACAATAAATATCATTGTCCATTATGTGTCATTTAAATGGTCACGCTTACTGTGCTGACGCACAGTGTTTTAAAATGGCATGGCCTACATGCAGCAAAACACATTTTCAACTTGCAGTGCAGTTCTGAAATGGGGTTCATCTTTTGAGATAACCTCAGAAAACAGGCTGGAGGCATGAGTTGATTTGTGGCACAAAGGCAGATAAAGAGGAGAGTGTTGAATCAGTGGGGGCATTGTGCTGCCAGTCTCTGTCCTTCTGTGGGATATGACCCTGTGGCATCTGCAGCAGTCGAAATCTGGTCGCAGAAAAGCTTCCCTTTGTAAGCTGTCACAGAAGAAACTGTATGAGTTCTTCTTTCCACTTTAGTCCACTCATACTTGTACACAGCAGCTGTTTTATATTTCTCGGCAGTTGACATGTACAGTGACATTTCAAAGCTCTGATAATTATTCTGACATGCAATACAGTACATAAATGGCACCTGGACATTGAATTCTACTCTAAGTATCTCTTCTCCTCACTCCTTATCATTAAGACCTTTTCTGCCTGAGGGTGCTGTTGTGATCTATCTTGACCTTTGAGGTTCCAGTGCTGGAAAACCTCCCAGCTTGCTATTTAAAGACTTTGGTGTTAAAAGCCTGTCACACCGGAATGTGTGAGATCTAGGCAGCATTAACCAGCAATTTTATGGCATAATGGTGTATACAGCAAATAAAGATATTCGGTGCTGGTTTGCTGTAATATTTATGCTCCTTTGCTTGACTGTGGCTGTTGTTGACTGAGATCGAGCTGCTGTGCATTGGCCCCTGGAGGGATGAGGTCATTATTCCCATTCCTTTTTAGGGAAATGAAATCCAATTGTGATGTTGCCTAGTGTTATTTCCTTGCCATGTGAGAGCTTGTGTTTTTCACACCAGAAGTAACTTCTCATCCAAAGGCTGGACACAATACTGCATCAGAAAGTAATATAAGGATAATCACCTTTATTGGCCAAGTGTGTTACACACAAGGAATTTGTTCAGTGTATTGCCCAAGGACACTTTGACACATGGACTGCCGGCACCGCGATTCGAACCTTCAACCTGGGAGACGACTGCTCTACCCACCGCACCATTGTTGCCTCCCCTATAATATCTATGCAATCTGAATGCAAACACAACTCTTTCACTAGGGAATCATGTTATATACTGTGGATATCCAAGTTAATTATTTAAAAGAAAAAGGTGCAAAAGTCACTTTGTAATTTTGTGCAAACAGATACATTTATTTACATAGACAAATTTCACTTATCAATGTTAAATATAAGCTTGATTATTTAAATATGGATGGGACAGGAAATGAAGGGGATCATGGGAAAGTGAGGGGGACATGGTATTGAATGGTGTGATAACATTTGAAGCCAGCTCTTAAAACTGCACTGCTATAACTTATTACAACTTTTTACATCATGGAGCATGAAAAAGGTCTGCAGAAGATGCTTAATGTAATGGCTGAATAGTTCCACAAATGGAGACCACTACAGTACAACTCTGGCAGCAATTATATGCATGAACTGCAGTTACTTCTAATCAGTTTAATTGTTGCTTATGTTTAACAAACACAGATGGTCTATTTCATACTGACCTAAATTACAAATATAATGTCATGAGAGACAACTAAAGCCTCATGAAACAAAAGCTAAAAATACAATTGCATTCAGGAACAATATTATCAGCTTTAGAAGCAGGAAGGATAATGGTCTTCCTGAGGAAAGAAGACTGTTGCGTGATTTAGGTGATTCTGTAGATTAAGTCAGTTCATGTTTGTTGCTTGCACTATTGTTTTGTTGAAATGCAGTGTTACGTGTTAGAAGTTATGTTCTTGTCTGACAAGTGTTTCACCACAGCAACAATATTTTTGGTGTCTTATAATGTAAGTCCATGTGCATAAAACAATAAATGCCACAACTAACCACTGGTTATCTAAATTGCATCTATCAACTAAAACCTTCTAATCCACTGAATGTAAAACACAGAGGTCAACCACTGATAATGCTCTTTTATATTTTAACCAAGTCATTTGAGAAGTTTTTAACTCCAGCCCCAAAAGCCAGTAGTGTGGGGAGTCTTTATTCTCTCCACTGGTTGTTCACATTAATATTTATGCTGTTTTGTGGCTCTTTAAACCACACCCATGAGGAATAAAAGGATGTGGGTCGCAACACCCACTGACCACTGGACATAGAGATTCCCTAAGAAGGCACAACCGCCATCCACTTAAAGTAGGACAGAAAGCCACAATGGAAGGAGGCCAGACCCGCACTGTCGTTCCATCCTACTTAGCGTGGTCCATCATCAATACTTTATTCTGTTGTCTGCCTCTAGGCATTGCTGCCATCGTCTACTCCTGTAAGGTAGGTAGCTTTTCCTGAACATCAAGCCTTTTACATGTATTTTTGGTACTTTCTTTTTCTGTATTCTAAGAGACGCCTGTCGTGGCTAGAGTGTGATACCAACTAAATTAATTCAGACAAACCATTACAATTTAAAGGATCATTTAATATTACAATTATTCTGAATAGAGTAGTATTTAAACACATAATCTTGTAGTTAGGGAACAGAGAACAGAGATCAGAGAACAGAGACTCTCCTCTTGCAATGGAATAGATAAAGCATAAGAAGACTGTCAGGAGCACCAGTCAGTCAGGTCATTTGTTA